AGTGCACCCACGTATGCCCCCTTAGGAACCTCTTAAATAGGGGACGAGGTCCACAGAAGTTAACTTGGACTTAAAACTGTGAAAGTTAGTAACTGACACAACTGAATCGGGTAAGATATTCCAGACTGAACATCTGGCTGACTGTGCGATGATCAATAACAACAACAACAACAACAACAATAATAGAGTTGGAAGGGACCTTGGAGGTTTTTTAGTCCAACCCCCTGCTCAGGCAGGAAACCCTATACCATTTCAGACAAATGGTTGTCCACTCTCTTCTTAAAAACCGCCAGTGTTGGAGCATTCACAGCTTCTGGAGGCAGGTTGTTCCACTGATTAATTGTTCTAACTGTCAGGAAATTTCTCCTTAGTTCTAGGTTGCTTCTCTCTTTGGTTAGTTTCCATCCATTGCTTCTTGTCCTGCCCTCAGGTGCTTTGGAGAATAGCTTGACTCCCTCTTCTTTGTGGCAGCCCCTGAGATATTGGAACACTGCTATCATGTCTCCACTTGTCCTTCTCTTCATTAAACTAGACAAACCCAATTCCAGCAACCATTCCTTACATGTTTTAGCCTCCAGTCCCTTAATCATCTTCGTTGCTCTTAACCGAAATTTGAAGTTGCCAAATGGATGACCATTCTAAAACGTAGTCAGTGTGATTTTACAAAACAAGTGAATTTTCAGTACTGTTAAACAATTTTACATCATCAGCGAAGAGGACACAAGTGCTTTTAAGTTGATCACATAAGTCATTTATGTAAATCAGGAAAAGAGTAGGTCCTAGGTGTAGGACACTGCCCTGAGGAACACCACTGTTTACTGACATCGGATCAGACGTTGAGTGCTTACAGTCATGTAAGACATACGCAAATGCAAGTATTCAAATAAAGTGTTAAAACCATACAGTAGATCTTCAGGAGATCAGGGTGAGATGAGAAGCAATGACCTTTTAATATATTCAGTGCAGAGCATCGGGGATTAAACAGTTAAAATCCAATAAACAAGAAAATGAGTTCTGAACTGAGCATGCTGTAAGATGTTTCAATCAAACATTTTTGCTTTATCCCACTTTCTTAACTGGCTTGTATTTTAAGCCAATATTCCAGTTTTTTTTTGTCATCCATCCATCCTTCCCTTGAATCATATTTACACTTTGCAAGAAACTAAATTGATAATCTAGGATAATCCTACTGGTATTTTGGACATCAGTTTGCATCAGACAGGGCCATCATGGCTATGTAGTACACCAAAAACCTGGAGGCCCCATGATGACTGGGGAATTCTGGGAGTTGGAGTTCACAAGTCTTAAAGTTGCCAGGGTTGGACACACCCTGTTCACCCTGTTCCATAATCTGTTATAATCACACACACACACACACACACTTACCTACAACCTATAAATACATGGGTTCTCAGGTAGGCCCATATGTATATTTGCTTTGTCTTTACACCTTTCCCTCCATTTCAATCAAACTATGGAAACAGCATATGCCAAAAACAATTTCTGCTGAAATGAATTGAGAAACTTTTCTGGATAAGGTTGTTCTGGGTACACTGAAAATATCCTGCTGCAGAGATGCATTTTTCCTTGATTGAAATGAATATCTGAGCATAAAGGAAATTAGACACTATCCAGTCCTCACATATGGTAAGGAATCTGTCTTTTGCTCTGGCAACATAAAATATTAAAGATTAGATAATATTTTTGTAGTAATAGATCACAACTGTAACCTCGAGCCCAATACATCTACAGAAAGAGGAATTAACTTTTCACTAGAGATCATCTGCCTTAATGCAGTTTTCCATTTTAAGAAATAGAGATACTCAGCGAAAAAAAAGCTTTCAGCAATGCTTTGTTCTCATTAGATAGTAGCATATTTATGTCTTGAAACTATTAAGGGGGACAGCTTTTTGGAATCAGAAAAAGCCAAAATTTGGTAACAGGACAGCTGCAATCTGAGGGAAAACTAAAATTCACACCACAAAATAAATATCCGTAAGAGCTGATTTTTCCAATAGTTTTTAATACAGAGCAGGTTTGTGTGAGTTGTTCTTGTGTGGTGTAATTATATTCTCATAATACAATTATTTGTTATAAATCTCTGTGAGGCCTGTCCAAGATAGAACAAAGCCCTCCTATTGGCTAGGATTAAAACTATGAACTGAACCATATACCTAAGCCCAGCAGCAGCAGCAGATAAATGAAGAATAAGGGCTCTGCTTTTTGTAACAGTATAGAATCTTTCAAAAAAGCAAAATCCTTGTCATTTCTTGAATGAAGCACAAAAGAGGGAGAAATTCTCATTTTTCCCCCCTTCATGTTGAACATTTTTTATACAACTGAACATTTGCTTGTCCTTTCTTTTGAATTAATTAGTTATTTTTTTGTAAATGGACTATGGCATACCAGGTTAGACTGGATGGTAGTCTAACAAGTTAAAGAAGTTCCGTTCACAGCTAAAGCTTGGCTGTATCCCCATTTCATATCATGTTGAAACCAATGCTTTGTGAAGGAAAGTCTTAGCAATCTCAAGGGTATGCTTTGTATGGACTACTAGGCTGCTGTTTAAAGACCTTTCCCAAAGGATATAGTAGTTTGTAGCATGTTTTTTTTTTAAGCACTTGGCAGAGGTCCAAGAATTTAGACCTTATAAAGATATGCTTCAATGCTGTTTCTCTACATGATTGACAAGACACAGATACAAAACTAAAACCTTCACAGTTCACATGCCATTAGAGTAACCTTCCCATAGAGGTAATCCTCAACTTACAATCAAAGTTACAATGAACATTTGCAGGGCCAGATTTGAAGTTATAACCCAGATTTGAAGTTCTGACAGCTGCCCCCCCCCCCATGGTCATGTGATTGCATGACAGGGCAGTTCGAAACCAACCCACATTTACAATCATTTGTAGCATCCCAAGGTCACATGACTGCAGTTTGCAACATTTTTGCTGGAAACTGGGGTTTACTTCCAGGTTTTTTTGGGGGGGGGAAATTGACCACTGTGGACAATGAATCTGCTTATTGTGCACTTTATAACTGCTATGTTTACTTAATGACCACTGCATAAAAGGCTGTAAAATTTGGCACAGTCAAATTTTTTAAGCAGTGGCCTGCTTAACAACCAGCACAATTTATATCCATAATTCCAGGCTCAATTAGAGACTAAGTCGAGGACTACCTGTATATGAGGAAATATATTGGCTTATGCATAGCACTTATTTAACAACCATAATTGGGACTGGCAATTGGGTTGTTAAGCAAACTGGTTACTAAGTGAATCTGTGAATGTGCATTCCTTCACTTTACAGATGGGCAGCTGTATGAGATAGATAGATAGATAGATAGATAGATAGATAGATAGATAGATAGATAGATAGATAGATAGATAGATAGACAGACAGACAGACAGACAGACAGACAGACAGACAGACAGACAGACAGACAGACAGACAGACAGACAGACAGACAGACAGATGTGATGACAGGTTATAAAGTTACTTTTTCATCACCATCGTAACTGCAAATGGCCACTGCAAATGGCCACCTGTACACCTCCCAGCTGCCTATGAAATCTGTAAGATGTATCGATTTATCAGGAGAGACTGCATTGAAGAATCTCTATTAGAGCAAGTGGCAATTAAGATTACAGTTCAGCAGCTTCTGATTATAGGTTTCCTTTCAATGCATTAAAACATGTGCATTTTATGTAGAAACCTTCTTAATGAATTACTTGTAAGTCAGGTGTGGAATCAACAAAATCCAGCAAGTCCTAGCATACAGTCCTCTCTCTTTAGTCCAGGGGTCTTCAAACTTAGCCCTTTTGTGACTTGTGGACTTCAACTCCCAGAATTCCTCAGCCAGCATGCCTGGCTGAGGAATTCTGGGAGTTGACATCCACAAGTCATAAAAGGCCAAGTTTGAAGAGTCCTGATTTTGTCTTTACTAGGGTTCTTCAAAGTTGACCCTTTTATGACTTGTGGATTTCAACCCCCAGAATTCCTCAGCCAGGCACGCTGGCTGAGGAATTCTGGGAGTTGAAGTCCACAAGTCATAAAAGGGACAACTTTGAAGACCCCTGGGCTTTACCAACAAGGAGAATCCCAGATACACTATCACCTGGGACTAAGGGGACAAGTGAAAAGACATAGGAGAAAGTAAGTAAAACAAACTGCAGCCTTTACATCTGGCTAAAACCTAAAAGTGAGGGGATAATTTTCAAATGTCAACCCTGCAAAGAATCAAGAAAGGAGGAATCAAACTGTAATGCATATTGTTTCTTCATTGATGTCTGGTCTGTCCTGAAGATATTGTTTTTCAGGATGTTCAGGAGCAGAAAACGTGTTTCCTTTCAGATCTTTTGGACTGTAACTCCCATTTTCCTTTGCCATCTTCAGTGCAGGAACTGATGTCCTGTTATCTATCTTAGCCTTAATACCATCCACCTACGTATCTCTTCAGGAGTAGCTATTATGAAATTGTATCCAACAACTCATCAGTACACTCTGCCTCAAAGGAACTAGTAAGCTAGAAACTGTATTTTCTTGACTTACAAAATTATGTTTTTTATATTTCTTTTATAATTTCTCTTAGTTCTTTCTTAGATGGGTGGACAGATGTTTGCAATTACATCCCAATATGTGGTCTATAGGTATTCAAGAACTGAAGAGCTTGGCTCTTTTAAAAATATTTTCAGGAAGCCAACTGCCAAACCATACCAAGTGGAAATATTCTAAAAAGATGGGCAATGAGAAAGACTTCTTATAAAAAAGAAGAATGACTCATGGTCATAAAATATAATTACTGTAGTATTTTTGAAATGTATTGGCTGATGAAAAGGAGGAAGGAATTTCAATTGCCTGTTCATTAGAGGAACTTGCCCCCTCTTTGCATAGAAGTATATCCAGTATTGGCACAACTTATTTAATCTAAAAGGGACACCTCAGTTTTAGATACGTTGAAACTGCCTTTCTATCTGCAATCCTATAATGGGATGAACTCTTATATGTCTGGCTTAAGAATCACAGTCTGAATAAAATGCTATACAGGTGAAAAAACGTCCTAACTGTGCTTCAAGAAAGCCAAGAAAACAGGAACATTGCAGTATCCAACAAGGTTTAATTCACTATGTTGAAAACAAAGTTAGCACTGGGAGGAGCCCTGCCCCAGCGCTCTAAATACATCGCAGCACCACGCCCAGAATACACACCCCAATTATCACTTATAACGAGACTCCACCCGTGCTACGCCCAGCCACCTCCCCATGATAAAACTCCACCCACACCACACCCAGCCTCTCCAACGTACGTCCATTAGCACATTGAATCCTAGTGTTATATTCACACTGTCCCCCTGCTTTCCCAGCGTCCAAACCTGTCAGACCCAGCGTCCCAGCCGAAACTATGACTCATTACGCCTCCCTAATTCGGCCCCTCCCACTCCATGCAATACATCCCGGTTGTCCGAAAGTCTGCTATCCACGTTAGGTGGTCACATGGTCCGTTCGCCTGCCACTGTAGAGGCGCCAGCAACAATCTCGTAACAGCGTTGGCGGTTCAGTTCGCGACGCCAACGGGACTGACTGGGAGCTCCTGGATCACCCGTCGTCACAATCAACGCCGAATATAGGGATATAGGCAGGTAGGTATCACGCTGGGTCTGACATTCGGCTTCCCCTCACCACAAGGCCCCCTGGAACAGAATATAACAGATCAATCACACTTTCCAGTCTATACATATAACAATTTACTTAACCCCCCCCCTTTTGGTCTGTGTGGTAATGCCTTGTGATACCTGCGAATCAGAGCAGGGGCGGACACATCCTCCCTCCGCACCCAGGAGGCATCAGACAAGGGATATCCCTTCCATAATACCAGGTAATACAATCTACCCCCCCTCAGCCGTAAGTCCAGTATGTCTTGTATTTCATATCGTCCTGGAGTGACGGGTCCTGGAGGGTTTTCATGGGAGTGCCTCCCCACAGGTTTTAATAAACTCACGTGGAAAACCCGATGTATCTTACCAAGTAGTTTCGGCAGGTGGAGCTTCACCGTCACAGGATTGACAATCCGTACTATGCGGAAGGGCCCGATGTATTTTGGCGCTAGCTTTCTGCATGGTACCTGCAACTTAATATACTTGGTTGATAGATATACCTGGTCACCTACTCGTAACTGGACTGGTACTCTACGACCCTTGTCTGCTTGATATTTCGCTGCCTGTTCTGCTTGACCCAGCGCCTGCTTTACTGTGCGCCATACCTGATTCACTTGGGACAACCACTCCTCTGGCTGATGAGTCTGGGATTCCTGGGATTCACACTCTGGTAATGGAACCATATCACCCCCATAGACCACTTGAAAGGGGGTTAAACCAGTGCTCTTATGTACCGCATTATTATACGCAATCTCTGCAAATGGCACGAAATCCACCCAATTCGACTGTTGGTAAGACACATAACATCGTAGATATCGTTCGATAGCTGCATTGGCCCGCTCTGCCGCCCCATTAGTACAAGGATGGTATGCAGAGCTCAGCCCTTATGTGGTACCAATGCTTGTAAGAAATCGGCGCCAGAACTGAGCCGTAAATTGAACACCCCGGTCTGAGATAATTCGACGGGGCGCTCCATGTAGTCGGTAGATGTGCTGTACGAACATTTTTGCCAACCTCCTCGCCGATGGCAATCCCTTGCAGGGGACGAAGTGAGCTTGCTTCGAGAATAGATCGACCACTGTCCATATAACCGTGTATCCCCTTACATTTGGTAAATCCACAATGAAATCCATTCCAATGTCCTGCCATGGCCGAGTTGGATCGGACAACGGTTGTAGCAATCCCATTGGTCCTTTTGGCATCACCTTCACCTGTGCGCAGATGTGACACCCTTTTACATACGCTTCGATGTCTTTCCTCAAGCCCGGCCACCAGAACTGACGTCTTACTAAATGTAACGTCTTTACAAACCCAAAATGGCCTGCTAATTTGGAATCGTGGCATCGATGGTATACCCGATTCCGTAACTCCTGTGGAACATATAGCTTATCCCCATACCAGGCCAAGCCATTACGGCGGGTTAACAACCCGGGATTAGCTATTAGCCAGGGGTCAGTTAACAGGGCTGATTTCATTTCATCCTCGAATGCTATCATTTTCGCGCATGCATCCACCCGTGTGGAGCCCACACTATATGGAGGCATAATGGCCTGGACCACCTCTTCCCTCTTGCTATCGTATTGCGGTAACCGGGAAAGTGCGTCTGCCAAGAAATTCTTCCCTCCCGGGACGACTTTCAGGTGGAACCTGAAACGTTGAAAATATTGCGCCCATCGGACATGTTTAGGCGCCAATCTCCTTGGTGTTTGGAGGACCGTTAGATTCTGGTGGTCTGTCCATACCTCGAAGGGATGCTGTGCGCCCTCCAACAAATGGCGCCAGGTGGACAAGGCCCATTTTACCACAAATGCCTCTTTTTCCCACACCGCCCACCGTCGCTCCGTATCGGTGAATTTCTTGGAGGTATAAGCACACGGTTGTAGATTACCCTGGTCATTGCGTTGCAACAAAACTGCTCCGACAGCTACATCACTGGCGTCGGCCTGGATAACGAACGGCCGACCCGGGTCAGGATGTACTAACACAGGTTCCTGTGCAAATAATCTTTTTAAGGATTCAAAGGCCTGTTGACAGGCCACAGTCCAGTCCAAAGATTGTCCCAGATGGGGCTTTCCAGCTGCATGCTTGGTACGCAATAGTTGACTCAACGGCAATGCCACATTAGCGAAAGAGGGAATGAATTGTTGGTAAAAATTAGCAAACCCCAAGAACCACTGTAGCTGGCGACGGTTCCTCGGGGCTTGCCACTCTAACACACTCCGTACTTTACCAGGATCCATCTCTACACCCGCTGCCGAAACCCTGAACCCCAAATAGTCAATGCGCTCCTTGTGGAATTCGCACTTCGATAGCTTACAATATAGTTTAGCGTCCAACAATTTTCTCAACACCGTCCGCACCAATTTCACGTGTTCCTCCAGTGTTTGCGAATAGATGAGTATGTCGTCCAGATACACAAGAACACCCCTATATAGATGATCATGCAGTACTTCGTTGATAAGCTGCATAAACACAGCTGGGGCCCCTTGTAATCCGAAAGGCATCACTTTGAATTGATAACTGCCTAGCGGGCAGTTAAACATTGTTTTCCACTTGTCCCCTTCCCTAATTCTTATTCTGTAGTATGCCTCACGGAGGTCTAGCTTTGTAAAGATCTTCCCGGCAGCCAAATGGGTAAGGAGATCTTTCATAAGTGGCAGGGGATAAATCTGTTCTATACACACAGCGTTAAGACCCCGAAAGTCCACACATAACCTTAATCCCCCATCCTTTTTCCCTTGGAACAATACTGGGGCCGCTATCCGGGAACGTGCCGGCTCTATAAAACCCCTGGCCAGATTTTTATCTATGTATTTCCTCATCTCTTGCAGCTCCGCGAATGTCATCGGATACATCCTGGGTTTTGGCAATTTAGCACCAGGAACAATTTCGATTGCGCAATCTGTTAGCCGATGGGGTGGTAAACTATCACACTCCTGCTCGCTAAAAACCGCTGCGAGATCATTATACACCTGCGGATATTCGAGCTTACTCCCCTCCTGTAATGGTTTTGAAACTTCCACCTCCCTATCCTCACTATAATCATATGGGCGAAGCGGCTGGGGACCCACTGCAAGTCTTAAATGATGGAACCCATCCACCCACCACATGGTTGGTGTCCATTTATCTAACCACGCTAGTCCAAGGATGATAGGCTCGGACATAGAAGGGACCACTATAAATCTCATGACCTCCCAATGGGCACCTATTTCCATTCTGACAGGTTCTGTCACCAATGTGGTTGGGCCCCCCCTTAACAAGGAGCCATCCACTTGCCCAAAGCGAATTGGAGACTTTAATCGGGTCACCCTAATACGCATCTGTCGTGCTACCTCCTTACTGATTAGACACCTAGTGCACCCGGTGTCAATCAATGCCTGAAATGGCGTCGACTCACTGGTAACCGGGCTTGTCAGTGTTACCGGGACGGTGAATGGGACTATGGGTTCACTCACCATTGGATCTTCCACCGGACCTTCCTCTTCATATTCCTCCAACGCAGGGGATGCAACACCTGGGGGTTGCTGGACAGGCGTCTGTCCCATTTGGTAAGCAATTCGCGACTTTTCCATCATCTTCTTTGGCGTGGCACCTGGCCTACCAACCGCTGTTGGCGTGCCTGTTGGCTCGGGTATTACACACTCCGCTGCTCGGTGGCCCGGCCGGTTGCAACGGAAGCACCTGAAGACAGGTCTCGGGAGTACAGTGCCTGGTGTTATCTGATTGGTGCTGCCCCCGGGCTGGTCCTGATTCCGGCGGGACTGTGGCCGTTCCTCACGTGCCCCAGGACGATCCCTCAACCCAACATCTAACTCCACAGCTGCCTTGAACCAATCAGCCAGGCGTCCTACAATTCCTCTGACCACACATGCTTGACATATGTCAGTATCCAGGCCAGTGCGGAAGTGATGGATCAGCAGACGATCTGGCCACGACCTAAGCCTCCCTGCCACCTTTTGGAAATCCCGGATATAATCCTGCACTGGTCTGCCCCTTTGTCGTAAGCCCACTAACTGTGCCTCCGCCCATTGTAAGCGGGTTGGGTCCTCAAACCTAGTTTTTAAGGCATCAAGGAAGAGACCTACATCAGCTAATTCCCTGGCCTGGTCGCTGTATAAGTCAGCGGCCCAAGCAGCAGCCTCTCCCTGCAAACTCGCCGTCACTGCAACCACCATTGCCCAATTAGACGAGTATAGAGTGGTATAACGGTCCAGATGGTTGAGCACATGGCTTAGGAATACCGCCAGGCGATCTGGATCACCGTCAAAAGTGAGTGTAATGGGAGGAGGATTCCATATCATAGCTTGAGGCCATGGGGCTGGTACCTGGCCTACGTACGGGGCGGTTTCTGGGTGTAGCACAGGGCGGGTTCCTGCTCCTACGGGCCCCGCCCCTTGCCTATCGGGATCTGATGGCTGAACTCCAGTCTCCCGTGCCCCCAGCCTGTACTGGGGACGCTCTGCTGCAGCCTGTCTTGCCAAGGGGTCCTGGAGAGGAAAGCGGCTACTTGGCTGTAATTTAAGCTTCGGACTTGGCAATTGGAAACGAGAGGAATCAGATGTTACGCGCGCCCCTGGGACGCCTCTAGCGTGGCCACGGAGACTAGCGGGATAAACACGTTCCCCAAACTGCTCCCTAAGGACATCTAAGGTGTATTGCCCCGGAGCCGTGGAACAGCTCCATTCCTCTTCGTCGTCCCCGGTCACCCGGCGTTCTCTCCAACCAGTCAAACTTGGCGTCAACCTCCGTTCCCTGCTGTCCTCCGGAAGCCACAGTGCAGGACTAAGCCACCATTCGCCATCTGCAACTACCGAGCCCTGCTGCCTCGCCCCCGGCTCCGCGACCCCAGGAATGCGCAGCTTCTCCTTCGGCCGAACCACCGGCTGATCGTCTCCTGCTTCGCCAACAGCTGGGCCCTCCAGCTGTTCGGCGGACTCTATGGACTCCTCAGCCTCCACCGGATCCACTCCCTGCGTTCCCTCCGCCATTTCACCACGTTATTGGATGGCTTCGGGGTGAGTGCTAACTTAATGAAAGAACGTCCTAACTGTGCTTCAAGAAAGCCAAGAAAACAGGAACGTTGCAGTATCCAACAAGGTTTAATTCACTATGTTGAAAACAAAGTTAGCACTGGGAGGAGCTCTGCCCCAGCGCTCTAAATACATCGCAGCACCACGCCCAGAGTACACACCCCAATTATCACTTATAACGAGACTCCACCCGTGCTATGCCCAGCCACCCCCCCGTGATAAAACTCCACCCAGCCTCTCCAACGTACGTCCATTAGCACATTGAATCCTAGTGTTACATTCACACTGTCCCCCTGCTTTCCCAGCGTCCAAACCTGTCAGACCCAGCGTCCCAGCCAAAACTATGACTCATTACGCCTCCCTAATTCGGCCCCTCCCACTCCATGCAATACATCGTGGTTGTCCGAAAGTCTGCTATCCACGTTAGGTGGTCACATGGTCCGTTCGCCTGCCACTGTAGAGGCGCCAGCAACAATCTCGTAACAGCGTTGGTGGTTCAGTTCGCGACGCCAACGGGACTGACTGGGAGCTCCTGGATCACCCGTCGTCACAATCAACGCCGAATATAGGGATATAGGCAGGTAGGTATCACGCTGGGTCTGACAACAGGTAGTCCTCGACAGACCATTTAAACAACAGTCAAAGTTACAACAGACCCCGTTTCAAAGTTACAATGACTGCAGCTTCTTGTGGCCATTCACCCCGATGACCCATCATAGGGTTGCTACAGCATCCTCCCGCCTCTTCCCCCCCTCCTACCATGCTATAACCCTGCAGAGCCTGGGCCTGCTCCCCACATGCCCCCATTTACTTTTTGAAGCTCTCCAGACATTATGTTGTAGAAGGAGAGCAGGCCACTTGTCTCCAGGTCACACAACAATGATTCAAATGTGGCCATACTTTTGTTCTGCTTGTTTGTGGGCAGGGATAAAATGCTTCATTATGCTGCCTTAGAGACAAACTGCTTCATTATGCTGCCTTAGAGAGATCCACCCAGGTGCTGCAAAAGTTTCTCTATACTGCAGACCTTGCTAAGGCAGCAAAACAAAGCAGTTTGTGCCTGGGCCACACAATGTGGCTGCCATTTTGGCCCTTCCCACAAACAGGTGGGGACAAAAATAGTGGCCGTCAGACAAATTGCTGGTTTACTTACTGAAAGTTTAAACCACAATGTACTATACTAAATAGGATAAAGCAAGAGAGAGTTAAGTATTTCGACAAATCCTTATTTTTTTAAAAAATCTACAACATGTATTTATTCATGTATTTAGTTTAAATGTCTTTTAAAAAAAGATTCTGCTTTTCATGACTGCAGGGGAAAACTTCAAAATACAAATAAATAATTTGTAACCATAATATTTCAAGGTTGCAATATACACAAACACACACCCACACCCACACCCACACCAAAACAAATATAAAATGCTTGCTGTATTATTATTTTCTGTTAACCTAGGCCAGACATGTCAAACTCGCGATGTCACGTGATGTCACGCAACATATCAGGACGGTTTTGCTATTGCTGGCAATGGGGTGGGCGTGGCTTCTGGATGACACATCCGGTCCGTGGGCCGGCAGTTTGACACCCCTGACCTAGGCAAATATAAATACTTTCCAGAATGCCTGATTAAATTTCAGGGACTGGTCTCATATTTTTAATATATCTGCACTAAAATACTTGACCACCCCAATCTTTGAGACAGATAAATCTGACTAGAATTTGTAGTGTAGTGCAATAATACTGTATTGCAACCAAACAGGACTGAGGAGTTTTTTATCACCATAAAGATGATGATGGTGATGTACAGTTCCATAGACTAGATGAAGTGATGACCGTGCAGTCACATTTAATAGTAAAGTACTCCTAAAATAACAGATGAATTTTGTGACATTCTCTTCACCTCCAAATAAATAAAGCTAATGGTTTCATTGATGCTATGATTGGGAAAGGACAGATATACATCTTATTTTTATATGCATTTTTAATCCTGGGGGTGTCAAACTCGCAACGTCATGTGACGTGTTGCGACGTGTTGCAACTTTTTTGCCATTGCTGGCAATGGGGTGGGCATGGTTTCGCTATGATGCATCCGTCCCGTGGGCTGGCAGTTTGACACCCCTGATTTAATCAATTTTCATCTAAATAATGCAGGGGTTTTAAAATGTTTAAAACTACTATTGCCCACTGCAGGTATGCATATTCTGAAACTTTCTATTTTTGTCCATAATGCAGTAGTCCTTGTCTTATAATAATTCATTTAGTGACCATTCAAAGTTACAATGGTGATGAAAAAAGTGACTTATGACTGTTTGTCACACTTACAACTATATCAGCATCCCCATACTCATGTGATCAAAATTCAGATACTTGCAACTGACTCATACTTTATGACAGTTGTTGTGTGCCGGAGTCATGTGGCCTTCTGACAAGCAAAGTCAATGGAAAAGTCAGATTCACTTAACAACTGTGTTACTAACTTAACAACTGCGGTGATTCCCTTAACAACTGTGGCAAGAAAGGTCATAAAAGGGGGCAAAATTCACTTAACAACTGCCTCGTTTAACAACAGAAATGTTGTGCTCCGTATAAGAGAACTACCTGTATAGTAGATTGAATTAAAATACAAGAAAAAAATAGAGTGCAAAAACTATGAAACTGATGTGAAAAAAATGCCAGTGAATATAAAGGAAGAATTGACCTCCACTTTCTTGGTAGATGAACTAAAAATCAAGCCTGCTCATTGGAATGTATTTTTCTTCTTTATGCTTTTTTGTACATTTGCAATTCAAGCAAATTAAAGATGTCAAAACCAGGTTTCGTGCACAAGTATCTAAAAAAAGTTATGCAGTGCTGTTCCTGGAATATCTCCCTGCTTGGGAAAATGGGAAATATAGAACAGGATATTTTAAAACTTAAAAACATTTTCTCAAAGGAAAAAATTAGATATAGATGTAACAGTACACATCCAAGCAGTTCCAAAATACCACAATCATCAGCTCATACTACATTTCTAGAATAACCATGATGTGGTTGCCTAAAAAGAGAATGTAAACTTTGGCTGCATTCTTTGAATGCAGAGCTTGGAAACATATTACATTATTATGCAATGCACTCATCACCTTTCCCTTCAAGATGGATTACCTTGGATGATTCAAAGGAATAATGAATATTAATGAATGAGTACTGAATACTGATGTATGTTTGGATTGCTTTTAAAGAGGAAACCTTACGCCAAAAGTTTACAATCTCATATGAATTAGACAAAATCTCCTATACTCTATACATATAAAAAGGATTTTTAAATATTCAAACACTGTAAGAGGTTATATCACCATGGAATATATGGTAGTGTTGAACTATCAGTGTGGAATGGAGTATTTTGGAAAAGGACATGACAGATTTTTGAACAAGAATAGTTTATACCATGTTTATGACCACTGAATGTACTTGGAACCAGCCATTGTATTAGGAGGTTTTTTTAATGATTAATTGTTCATTAATTCATATAATCATTCATATAATTAGTGTAATCTTATTTCATCTATCTATACTTCCAGTATTTCATGTCTCAACCACCATCATTTTTGGTAAGCATCAAAACGATAAACCATCTTACTAGCAGGCCCTTTGCAAGATTTCAGGTATATAGTAATGTGTGGTCAAATTATTCTCATGAAAAACATACCACTTTATTTTTCTTTCTTGGCCATTATATGCCATTTCTCAATTCTGTGGGCGCTTCCACTAGGACAACTTTGGAAATGGGTTCATTTGAACTGCCAGTAGCCTCACAATTGTAATAATGAACACTGCTATACTGAAGAATCAAATGTGAGCGGGTGTGGGATTTAAATAGCAAAAGGTGATGGTCACAAGCGAGGAATAAAACTCCAACTTGAACACAGATTTTTGGAGATAGTGGAGGAATTGACATATACATTCCCTTTGGCCTGAGTTAGCTGGGTGAGGAAAAACACACACTAAGATGTCATGGTCATCTCCTGAAGGAGAAATATTGTCCCAGTATTTGAGAAAGGAAAAAAAAAAATCAACTTTATGGTGTTTGATCAAGCACAGGTTTCCCTCTGCTTGTAAGTTCCCTGTCCAAAGGTAGAAAGCGAGGTTCTTAAGAAAATCTAATACACATAACTATACTTCTTATCCTGGAAATACAGACAGATCACAAGGCTAATTATCTGCTACCCTTCATACCTTAAATCAGTGATGGCGAACCTTTTAGAGACCGAGTGCCCAAACTGCAACCCAAAACCCACTTATGCATTGTCGGGTGCCGGGTGGGTGTGGCCCATTGGGTGGGCGTGGCTGCAGTGGTAATGGCAGACTGGGTGGGACTAAAAAGTTCAATCAATGCCAACTTTGCAAGATCTTTTTTTTTCCCACGAGAAGTTGAAATTGACTGATTGATTGAATCTTTTTTTTTTTTTTTGGTACACAGTGGTGGAGGCCTAAAGCGAAAAGCTTTTATAAAACCCAGCTGAAGGACTAGGACTGGGGTGACGGCACGCGTGCCCACAGAGAGGGCTCTGAGTGCCGCCTCTGGCACCCGTGCCATAGGTCGCCACCACTGCCTTAAGTACTACCATATATAGATTGCTAAAAATGTTAACTCAAATATAAGTCACCTTGGGATTTCTCCTCATATATGAACACTGAATGAATCATTCAAAGCCTTCGGTATTTAAGTCTTATAGTTTTAAAGCGTCGTAAAAATAAAATGTCTATGTGGTCTGTTTAGTAGTGATTTAACCCAAGGGGACATGATAGAACCTATTGGTTTGTTTTTAGCAATGTGTTGTTTGGCTCTTTTTAGAGAAGACTTTTTACTGATATGTAATGATATACAATTAATCCCACACTGGTCTGAAAATCTCTTAAGTGTTAGATCCATGTGACAGTGCAATCAATATATTGTTAATATGCAAGATGGTTTTGGAATAGAGTGATGGATTATTTTTTACACCTTTCAAACCATTTGTATTTCGCTTTGGGAGTCACAGGAAATACTAAGACATGTAACCTGGACACCTTTGAAGTTTTGATGATTGGGCTTTTTTTTTCCTTTCTTATTACTTCAAGATAATTAATGGAATAAAAGGGAATCTACAAGAATATTACAATCTAATATGTCCTCAGAATTAGTAAGTATAATGAGAAGGGGAAGGAGGAGAGGAGAGGAAATAATGGAGGCTTCGGGAAATATGTTAAAACAGCTCTAAAAATGTAATCATATGGCTTGAAAATCTTTTTTCTTGTGCATTTTTAAATGCATCCAAAAACTAATTCAAATGTTGACAATCAATTCATTGTGACTAATGGTTGATTTTTTTTCCCTTTGATTTAGCCACCTCATGCTCCATACTAGAAAAATTCGTAACTCATGATTCAAATATTAGAATACACCCAAGGAAAAAAAATATTCATTGTTAATACATAACAAAGCAATAATGTTATGACAGATCCAGTTAGCCCATAAATGAAATCAACTGCCATTTTTAAAATGAAGTTATTCCATAATACAGGTTTTTCATGGGAAGAAGGATTGAAATTACATCTAATGTAAGTCCCAAATATTTT